TTACAATAAGCTTGTAACCACGGTTTCACTCTGTTGGGTTAATTGCAAATTTCAACCGAAAATAAAGTTGATAATTAGTTTATAACGTGTATGATAAAATTCTGTTACATTAAATGCTTCTGATTGGATAAACGTTTAATTCGACTTTTGCGTTAATTCGACCGATGACTCCGGAACGGAGGCGGTCGAATTAACGGCAGTTGACTGTATCTTTGCCTTCAAGTTGCCAATTCTGGACATCTGACTTATTATTATGGTGCCTTGTTGATTCAAAAGATCCAACTGACACAGGTAGAACTAAACAATTTCAGCTTCAGAAATGTCTTTACAGAAACCTTGAATTTTTGGCAATCTCGTCACGAGCTAGTCGAGATATCGACACGACTTGGCAGAGATCTCGGGTCGCTGCTACACCTGTACGCGCTCGCAACGATATAGTGGCTAAATAAGGACCCGTGGAATCTGATGGGGCTTTATACAACGTTGAGGAATGGAAGGTTTTAATATGCCGCCCTCCATACTCGCGATGAGGGTTTGACGTTTGCGAACGTGGTAAACGAGGTATATTAATAAAAGTCCTGATACGGTTATTCGTTTAGCGTTAAATTTTGCCATAAGATTTAAACATTATATTCAGTAATGTCAGCCAGTTCTACAATCGAATGAAAACGTTGTCATTTACGTTGCATTTTATTAAACACATAATGGGCAAGTACGCCCTGCGTTTGCCACACCAGACTTAAAATAAGCGAGTCTAATTTATTCAATAAAAGTTTCAATTTGTTTTAAAATATGTAGAAAGCCCAAACCATTTACTACATTTTTCCTTAAACTGATCAGCCTTGGTTGAGTTAAGGACTGTTTTAAGCAATTCATGGCTTGCGATACAGTTCTGCAACAAAAAACACGTCCATCAGAACACGACATACGTTCTATTGCAGAATTAATCTGACTGCAATTCTAGTTACCTTGAGCGACCTTCCATTCTCATATGCTGGATCTTCGATCCTAAGCACAATTTCTTCTGCCCTCGCTTTATTACCAGGGTCTATCAAGAACAACGATTCAGCAGCAGATAATAAATGCGGAACCGAATTTTTGTTCGATTCCAGAAATTCCATCGTAAATGACTCGAGATCTTTGTCTTCGGGAAGAATCTTTTGAAGTTCTGCTGAAATTACTTTTTTTACGGTTGGATGAATTTCTGAAGTAGAAACTAGAAAGCAATGGGGTTAAAGAATATATAAAATAATTAATGCCGTTTGCAAAAAAAGAAAAGGTAAGAGATAAAGTATCGTCATCATAAACTCGTACTTGTTTTGTGAAATCGTATTATGTTCTTGTGAAGCTCGGGGTTGTTCTTGTCGATATTGTGAGCTTTCAAAAGAGGCTTCAATGCAAGCAAATATTTTCCTATGTTATGCAAATAATTGAATAAACTTATTTGTTAAAAAAAAAATAATCAAACAGCAGAAAATTTATCCAACACACTTTTTCTTAAATAGATCTCGAATCCTAGTAATTGTGTCTCTATTCTTTCTGACGCTAGTTCTTGTAATGGCTGTAAAAACTTGAGCGCCTCCTTCAAAGGATTGTCGGTCTATAGTTTTATGGAAGTCCATATAAGCCTACAATTCATGATACTGTTAAAGAGAGAACTTTACATTCATTTTAAAATTAAATAATCGCCTTCAAAAGCTTTTCGCCATCTGGGTCGTCATCCTGAGGCTTCTCCACTTTCTTCTTATTTTGTTCTTCTTTGACTTGTGCTATTATATAAATCGTTAAGTGTGTACTTAGTGATTCGTATGACATTGAAACAATTAACCGAAGCAAGTTGAACCTTTTTTTGCTTCAGCTTCTCGCTGTGCCTTCGCAGCCAATTTCTTCGCCTTATTCTTTGCTTTCCGTATTTCGCCTTCAGTCATATTGGCTGCAAGAAACACGTAAGACAAGATTCGTTTAAATAGCTAACGTGATTATATGAAAAAGTTGTTGTTGTATCCATACCGAAATCAGGGTTATTTTCTTTTGTTGTGACTGTATGCGGATTGTCGTGCAAATGAAGGTATATCTTTTTTTTTCCCAGATATGTCTTGTTAAGCGATTGTGTGTAGCGAAGGCCGTGGTAGCGTAGATCAAAACTTACCTTTATTGCGTTCTGCGCAGCACAGAAATAATAAGGATGAGATCTCAATTGATCCTCAAACCGTAACATGCTATTATCATCACAGGCACAAAAAGGCTTTAGTAAAACTTATTTCTGCCATCTGCTGGAGTCGAAGAAACCGACCTTAAATATGCTCTGAGAGTCACTTTACGTAAACAGTAAGTATGGAAATCGAATTGATCATCTGTAATGTCAGCGAAATGCTGAACAAAAAAGTTGGAGAGGTGATTAGGTCAGCAGCATTCAGCGAGTGGTAATAGAAATTAGCGATCAAACACCTTTACCTTCTCGATTTGATGGAAGCGTTTCAAAGCCTTGCCAAGCTTATTCGTCCTGGCGAAACATTCACCTTCTTCGAGAGCAAACCACATACATTGCATATCAACAAGATCAGAGTAAGGGTCTGGTGCATCTCTCTTTACGGATTAAAGGCACATAACAAAACTGATGAATTCCTTGTCCTTTCAACGTTTCTACTTTCCCTCCAAACATAGTAGAAACAAAAACTAGTAATCCCTAATCCTCAGGCACTTACTCTGGTAAAATAACCAATAGTTTTCTCCGCCTCCTCCGCCTGGTTATTTCTTAACATATATTTCACACACTTAGAGTTGATAAATCTGTCTTGTAAATCCAGCTCGCGAGCATCGTTCATAGCCTTCATGGCTTCGTTCATGTCGCCCCCATGCTAGTCGTATTTAACCAAGGGTAATCGTAAAATTTCAGTTCGCAATGCCCTCAACGCCATAAATTCAAGTTTTCCGATAAAACTTATCCCTTTGATTATTCCAACCTTAAGTATTCGTCCCTTTGTCATATACAATTCAACCATGGTCGGCGTATGTTCGATAGCCTCATTGATATATTTGAAAGCTTTGGCCGTATTTCTCCTGTAATCATAATGCTGAGCCAGGAAGTATAGAGCCCATAAGTATGCAGTAGGTGGTTCTTTCGTATCTTTTTCAGCCGGTTCTTCAAAAACGCCTTTATCCTTCAATGACTGAAGATACCCTTCCACTGACGCCTCAATCATAGATGATTTTGAGGGATCAGAATAAAGCTGTTTCAAGTGCACAAAGAGTGAAGGAACACCTTTGCGTAGGGCTGGCTTTATGTACTCGCCCACGGCCTGTTTAAATCTCTCACCTATAGGTTGATTACGTATTCGGTTAAGAGATTAGAACACAGTAAGGGGAAAAACCAGAATGCAAAATCAAAGTAGGGAATGAGAGAAAAGTGTTGTAAATTACTCCTCTCGCTAAGACTGACCACTGGCGTGTTGTAGAGGGATGCGCTTCGCGGCATTTGATTTTTTGAAGGTCTCGCCGAGCTCTCGGTAAATGGCGAATAGTTTTTCTTGTTGATCGTCATCTGAATTTTCTACATCATGGAAAATATGCGTTTAATTAAGACCTTTCCCCCCGAGTACTAATCATATAAAATGCATTATACCGATGTCAATCTGCTTAGCTTGCTGCAACCCTTTAAAGTATTCGTAGCAATCGGGGTTTTCTCTGACGAGTTCTTGATATACTTGTTCGGCTTCGTCTAATCTGTTAAGCTTCAGAAGGAACTGGGCTGAGGTTATTAAGAAGCAAATTCGCATGAGTTGGAAGTGATTGTCTCTAATCACACTTGTTCTGGTATTTTCTGTTGAAGCACTTTCGCACCTCGCTTCTCTTTCCACGCGCGTTTGTCAACCACGTTATCCTTAATTGAATCCAAATGACCCAGAGCTCGTTCTATGTTGCCCATTTCCTCAATTACATAATTATGATACATGAGCATTTCACTATGCTCAAAATCCATCGGTTTCGGCTTCTGTATAAAGTCAGTGTTGCTTCACGTGATTACGGTAAGTATAGTAAGTGAAACGCAAGTAAAAAGTCTTTTCGCGTACCTTTAATGTTTTTTCGTAATGTGATAAGATCTTTTCAGCGATTTCGTAATTAGCCAACAAATGATAAGATATTGCAAGCCCAATCCAATACCGTTGGTTATTAGGTCTTAACTGCAATAGGTGATGTCTTGATTCCTAAACTCAAATTGCAATAAGCCTCAATTAAATCGTTTTACAAAAAATAAGTGTGAATCGAAGGTTGCTAAACAGTTTCTTACGCTAAATGCTTCATAATTCCTCATCTGTATCTGTAGAAGCGAATAATCTTGAAGAATTTGCATATTGTCCTGCAGTCGTTTCGCGTTGGAATTAACATGCAAGTCAGACAATTGTCCAATTGTAATATTATTTGGTAAACGGTAATGCCATTATAGCAAGCGACAACACCTTATCAGACTTTAATGCATTCGTATAGCACTTTAGTGCTTCGCCATAGTTCTTGTCCGATCTATGCAAAAGACCAAAAACGTGCCAACCTAACGCGTAAACAATTCATTATATCGTCTTTTCGTAAAATGCCAGTGATTCGTGTGGCTTGAGATAATATTATTAAGAGCATTGGCAATTACATATATGACTAGATAAATCCAAGGCAAGACCCTCTTTAACTAATTTGTATGCCTCCTCTTTCTTCTCCATATGATTAAGGAATAGGCCTTTCATCGCTAGTGTCTCTGCATTAGTAACGAGGGTCGTAGTAAGTACAGGCTGAACCAAAAGATCTTGCAGCAAAATATTCCCAGAATCTTTATTCATACGGTATCATATGTTTTTACAATAAATATAGACAGCATTCATGTACCTCCATGTTTGGGGAACTTGGTGAGTATTTGCTCGGCAGTTTTAAGGCCTTTTTTATACTGCTTGTATTCATAGTATCTCTATAGGTGAATGTATTTGTATATACATAAGTTCATGACGCATAAGTATTCTACGGCACTTGTTATGATTATTATTGCTTACAAGAATTTGTTTAAATAAACTGGATTCTTTGGGTGGTAGATCTCTCATGTTCATATAAGCAAGGAACAGTCAAAAGATGGCAGTCAAAAATTTTGACATCTTTTGGTGTCATGTGATAAAGAGCGAAAAATCCAGATATGGTTCGAGTGACAGGGAGAATGCAATGACGAACTATTCTGAAGGTATCAGTGGGCCTTGCTTGCTTCCAACCTACGTTCATTAGTACTTTGGACTGTAGAATTCATTATCAACCTTTTCTACAATAGCACTAATGGTAGTATTAGTATTTCATTGTCCAATTCTGGCCCGAAATCAGCCGAACGCGTGCAAGAAGGAAAAAGGGGAGCGAATTTGCCCCGACTATCTTGCCAGGCCAGAAATGGCTTTTTCTAATCAAGAAGATGAACATTAGAGCAATGAATGCTAGACAAGTTCTTGAGAACGTTAAGTTAAGAACAATGTCTTCGCACTAAAATATTGCTTCTTATTTTTACGTGAACCCTGCATTTCTTCTGATCGACATTTGTAACAGGGGTGGTCACGGTGATAGATCCCGTGAACAATTTTTCAGCTACACGGAAAACAAAAAAGTTTCTTCCATGGGCAAAGCAAAGAAAGAAAAAAATCGTATTGTCCGCCAGCAAGCAAACAATCCTGGCTCAACGGTAGCTGGCAATCTCCGCGTTAAGGGAGAGAACTTTTACCGTGATGCAAAGAAAGTCAAGTACATTAACATGCTAAGGGGAGGGAGGCCGGTGAGGGATTCAAAAGGGAAAGTGATAAAAGCTGCCCCATACCAGAGCAAAATCGCACCACGCGCAAGGGTGCAACCCGATAGACGCTGGTTTGGTGAGCAACGAGAAACAAAATTGATGCAGTTCCATTTGTTGATCACCGAATATAAGTCGCCCATTTGCAATGTAAAAGTTAATTGAATCATAAATGCGTTCAGGAAATACGAGAGTGATTGGCCAGAAAGAATTGCAAGACTTTCGAGAGAGTCTTGGATCAAAAGTTCATGATTCATATCAAGTATTATTAAGGCAGAACAAACTGCCAATGAGTCTGTTAAATGATGCCGCGAAGGTTTGTTGATCTTTAACCATGCTTAGCACTTGTTTGTTTGTTGGGGATCCCCCGACCGTCATTTAATTATTTCTCGACTATCAAGGTGTCTCGTATGCATATGTTGGAGACTGAAACGTTTGCTGATACTTTTGGTCCCAAAGCTCAACGAAAAAGGCCAAAGATAACAGTTGGATCACTGCTAGATTTAGTTTCGGTAACCGAAGATTCATTAGAAAACTATAATGAGAAGAATGATCCATCACTTTTGTCTAACACAGTGACTGATTGGATCGAAGAGGCTCGTCACAGTTTGTTTTCTAAAGGAAAATCGAAAAGAATATGGAACGAATTGTACAAGGTACAAAGCATATAATGTTGATAACGCTGCCAATCGTCGATTATTCAATATGACAACTTTTATAATTAGGTTATAGACTCTTCAGATGTTGTAATACACGTATTGGATTCGCGTGATCCATTGGGAACACGTTGTAAGAGTGTCGAGGAATACCTTAAGAAAGAAGCCCCTCATAAACACCTGGCTTATCTCCTGAACAAGTGTGATCTTGTTCCAACCTGGGTTACGGTAAGACTCTTGAAGAAAAACAAACAATCTAAATATAGATGGTTATTTATATCGAGGCTATTTTTAGATGCCATAATGCAGTCAATGTATCTTTGGTTTGCAACATCCAGTCGCAGCAGTAGAGATACGCGTTACAATTATGGCAAATTAAACCAATGCTCAATCGTTTTGACCGATCTTGTTTTAAGATTTGGCCTTTTGCAGAGCATGTTTCATGAGAGTTGAAGGGCGGAACTGCTATTTCTTCTCTTCTTAGTATTGAAACAGAAATTTCAGTTTATTTAGCAATTTAAGGTTTCTGATTATTATTTTCATGAGATGAATTTCCTACTAAATTACTTTCTTTTTCAGGCTCGATGGGTAGCACACCTTTCACAAACAGTACCGACGCTGGCTTTCCATGCGAGTATAAACAATTCCTTTGGGAAAGGTTCTCTCATACAACTTCTTCGACAATTTGCTGGATTGCATTCTGACAAGAAGCAGATTAGTGTGGGATTTATCGGTTACCCAAACACGGGGAAAAGTTCCATAATAAACACATTAAGAAACGAGAAAGTCTGTAATGTTGCTCCATTACCTGGGGAGACAAAAGTATGGCAATATATAACTTTAACGAAACGGATTTATTTAATTGATTGTCCCGGAATAGTACCGCCGTCTTCGGATGATACAGAGACCGACATTGTATTGAAAGGAGTTGTAAGTTTGGATGGCATTGCTGTGTGTGTATCGGACTTGCGGTTTAACTTGGTCTAACTTTGTTAATATTCATCCAGATTCGCGTAGAAAATTTGAAGGTCCCCGAGGAGCACATCCCAGAAATTCTTCGACGCGTTCGGAAAGAATATTTACAGCGTACATATGAACTCCGAGATTGGACAGATTACATCGACTTCTTAACACAAGTTGCTAAGAGAACTGGGAAACTTTTGAAAAAAGGAGAGCCAGATTTAGGCACAGTGGCCAAAATGATACTTAACGACTGGTTAAGGGGTAAAATACCTTATTACATTCCGCCACCAGAGTCAGCATCTGAGAGAGTAGACAAGAACAAGGAATCAGACGATGAAGAAGACGAAGTGAAGGTAATTACTAACATGATTAAACCTCATATGGCAATCCTTGAGAAAGTTCAAAGATTTGGTGTCTGTTTAGACAGCAACGATTCCTTCTCTGGGGTATCTGAAGTTGTGCGTTTAAACAGTTCCAGATGTTGGTTTTATAATCCAACAAAAGTCAACGGATAACTCATTCATGTCATCAAGGTTCCATAGCATATCTCTCATTAGGACCGGGCTGATGAATGTCTGTTTAAACAGCCATACCAGACCTGAACTAATTTGTGAGAACACATCTATTAATACCAACTAAACAAACTAAATATATTTTCCACCACAGGCATCAATAGGAGTTGAACAAAATTTCAAGAATATACGAGTGACAACGGAATTCTTGCCTGATGACTTGGGTACATACGAGGCCAAAAATAGTAATTATGGAAAGCAGTATGAAGACGACATTATTGAAGAAAATATCACTGATGATGCTACTGATGAGGAAGAGAGCCAAGCTGATTGGAACGAGGTGTTTGAGAGTGTGGTTGGTGAAACTGTCAGTGAATAAGTTGAAAACATACATTGTTAATGTGAAAGGATTTGGTTCCATGCTAAGTGCAGGCAATAATAATAAAAAACAATCTTAAAACGCGAAAGGGAAAATAAGAAAGGAAGAAAAAGGCAAAAAAAAAAAGTGATTCACACTTTTTGATCTGACGGCGAGACCTAATGACAATACTTTAGTGGATATGTTACTGCACAGGCAATGGTGGGTCTGAGTACCGACATTCCATTTAATTGTCACCAAGAGTATAATGCAATCGAAAGGTGTCATGTTGGTGTCATAGCACCATTCATTCTTTATCTCACAGTAATGTCGATAGATGTAATAACAATATAGGGAATGATATTATAGATTGTATTTTGAGTACTAACCGCTGAATCAATTTGTTAATACTATTGATAATAGCACGCGTCGTCAATTTGATATTCAGAATTACCGCATTGGATGGATGGGAAAACGAACATATCTTTTCAACTTCAAAATCGCTATTAGAGGTTAAAGAAATGCGAATCACATTATTTAAGTTTCATAATCTTCTGGGCATTTAATGTTCTAAGAATCAAAGTAGAGCTTACTGACAAATTTATCTCATTATAATCTAATCATTAATTGCTTCTTATCTTAATTACTTGTCAGAGTTCACCTATTGTATCAATGAACAAAGCGTTTTTAAACTGTTTCGACTATTTATCAGTTTTCACGGAACAGTACGCCACATATTACTTACATCTTCTTATCTTACTCATGTACCAAGTTTAATACGTAAGCAGTCTCTACGTAAGTATCCAATTTGATGAATTGGGAAGCACCAGAAATAAACCCAATCGATGGGTCAGATAAAAGTGAGTGAATTTATTAGTATTAGGCAATTGATTGAAGGTGAATTAATTACTGTTATACATGAACACTAATGGTCTTACATATTCGGCGAAAATATCTTCACACGTATGGCATCTCCCATCGTTTACATATTTCAAAAATATCGTGATTTCTTGATACACTACCATTCTTTCCTTCAAACTCTACGTCTGCTGGTCAATAGGAAATAAACGTTCCATGTCTATGCGCTCCATTTCAGATTTGTGGCGTTCAATTTTTTGGTGGCGTAATCGTCATTTGGTGTAATTTGATGCTAAAATGTCCAATCTCCCAATCAACCACTTCTCAATATACCATGGCCACTTCAATACAGGCTCAGCAGCTTTCTCAAATAGTCAGTTCTCTTCAAAACATTCGTCACATTATACTAATACTCTCTGGCAAGGGTGGCGTAGGAAAGAGTTCCGTGACAACGCAACTGGCATTAAGTTTAGTACATAAAGGAAATAAAGTTGGTATCCTAGATATTGATTTAACAGGACCCAGTATCCCGAGAATGTTAGGACTTGATAAGATGCAAGTGCATCAGGCTTCCGGAGGGTATGTGTGTTGGTAAAAGAGAATTTTGCATTGGGAGGCAGACAACAAACCGTTAATCAATAGACCCGAATCAACGGTTTTTTAGTTGGGTTCCAGTCTATGCTGGTCTGGAAGATAAAAACCAACGATTGTGTTGCATGTCAATTGGATTTCTTTTGCAAAATAAAGACGACTCTATCATTTGGCGAGGACCAAAGAAGAATGGTACGAGAGTTGAATGAATAGTTTCAAGTATTGTGATTAAAGCGGGATTAAAGGGATTACTGCTTTCAGCGATGATTCGACAGTTTTTGGCTGATGTTTGCTGGGGAGATTTGGATTATCTCGTCATTGATACTCCACCAGGTATGCATCAACAGATACATCTATGTGTGGTTCTTCTTCTTTTGTATTTACATAAATATTGCTTCTTTGTCTTTAAGGCACGTCCGATGAGCATATATCCATAGCAGAATATCTAAAGGAAACGAATCCTGATGGAGCCGTAATAGTGACTACTCCCCAGGTACATATTGGATAGAATATGGAACGTACCGGAGATGATGCCTTTTTAAGAATAATCTTTAATATACGTAGGCTGTCGCGTTGGCAGATGTTCGGAAAGAGCTTAACTTTTGTAAGAAAGTTGGTATACCAGTATTAGGTGTTGTTGAGAACATGAGTGGGTTTGTATGTCCACACTGTGAGGTAAGTACTATAGGTTCACAGATTCATATTATTGTATCCCATTATGGAATTGATTTTCAGTTGATATCTAATTGTCAGGAATGTACAAATTTGTTCTCTACTGGAGGTGGTGAAGCTATGGCCGAAGAGTTTGGTGTATCGTTCTTAGGTGCGTAATAATTAACCTATTGCGCATTACAATTGTATTTACCCAACTCATAAATCTTCTCATGACATCAGGACGGATTCCTATAGATCCTTCAATAACTACACTATTTGAAACAAATCAAACAGAGAACTCCGCGAGCGGTAGTTTAGTCACGCAATATTCACAAACGAATGTGTTCAAAATATTCAATGAGATTACTGGTAAAGTTATTAATAAAGTAGAGACCAATACTGATGAAATGTATACACAGGTATAGAAAGTCAAAATATTGTATTATGCTTTGTCGTGTGCAAATGCGGAGGAACTTGGGGCAAGGGTGCTCCCTCTTCCGAAGCAGTTTATTTTATAGTATCATGCTTGAAAAACACGATTCAATCAACACTCCCACCCAAGTCTAAGACCAATATCAGACATCAACCATTTCATAATTACACAGCTATACCATCCTTAACATCCGTAGCTATATTTATACCAATTTACTGAGTCACTGCACTCGGTTTACGCGATCTTAGTTTCCATTTTGTTCCATTTCGTTTCCTGCTATCTTCACTTGAATCCGTGGCCTCTCCTGGTTTATCGGCAACTTCTTCAGAATTGCCATCACAGTCTTCACATCGCCAGATATATCCACTACGAATATAATGCAAGAGGGAAAAAAAAAGTATAAGGGTTAATACAAATGCTAACAAGGTTTATAAATTATGCACGCATGTAATTATTCTCACCTGGAAGGCATAGTCCTTATCGGTGGATTCATACATGCTAGGTGGTACCATTTGGTACAGAAGTTGCATCTAATCATCCTATGGACTTTGTCCCTGCCTTTTACTATAGTAGAAGCTCTGGCCCTAACTGGACTAACCAGTGTAGCTGTAGACCGTTCATCAGGCGCCTGTACTTCACCACAACATACGCAAATGGGTTGGGGCACAACTGGTGCTAATGGACTCTTCGCATGAGTTGTCATTTTATCTTCTGATTGTCCTTGTGATTTAACTCGCCGAACTGCTTTCGGCCTCTCTTGGGCTCGAGTACGACGCACTTTTCTTGGAGGACTATCCTCCATAATTTCTGTTGTGCCGTTGGACCTGCTGTTGAATGCACTCCTATGCTTGTGACTGATCTGATTCGTTTTTCGTTCGTATTGTCGCGATAACGTATCTGCTGACCTATTGCCCCTGTCATTATCTCCTTGTGCACTGCCGTAGTACGAATGGCTAGGATTGTATCCTCTGATGCCTTCATAGAAATTCTGACGAGAATTCGTATAGTTCAATCTATCATAATCTATACTATGATTACTCTGAGCATCAGAAAGTTTCTCATCTGAATAGTCCACATTACCGTTCATGGTATCTTGGCTGTTATTTTTTTCATCATCACGATCAGTAGGTGATTTCTCAATTGGCCGCTTTCGCTTTCGCCCTCTTTTTTTTGGTAAATTTCCAGATGGAGATACGGAACTTGTACTCACGGTGGATTGTCTCACATGTACTTTAGAAGGTGTTGATAGTTTTTCATCTGCTGAACTTACGGGAGATGGTATTCCTCCAGTAGCACTTGTCTGCGCAGTAGTTTCATCACTTGCATTTTTATAGAGAGGCGGTTGTATTGTTGTAAACAAGTCTATTCTATTTGTTTCGGCAGTATTTGCCGAGTTGTGATAAGAATCTTTAACTGGTGTCTTATCGTTCGATGTTGCGTCGATCGATCCCACAGAAAGCGATGGACTTCGAGTACCATCAACAAAGTCCGGCAATGGACTATTCAATAAATTATTAATATTCGAAGTATAGATATCAGTATGCCTAGTAGTATTGTCATCCGCTAAAGCCTTTGAACCAGCTCTAATTCTATTTGTAACATCTTTATGTACACCATTTGTATTTGCATTTCGAATAGACTTGTATGCCTTGCCGTTGGCCATACCATCAACCTCCATATCCTCATCCGATGTTATAATTATCTCCCTATTAGAGTCCATATTCTTGTGTATCAGTGAATCAACGTCGTTATCAGCACTATCTTCAACAGAGATAACACTCTCAGATCTATCCGATTGCTCAAATGCAGTATCCTTAGAACCAGACGCTGTCGCAACTGACGTTTCAGACGACCTATTCACATTGGCTATTTTGCGTGGCCTACCTCTCGGTGCGCCAGTTTTTCCCCTCCTCCCCGCTTTATTTTTGTTCGTAGATCCTCGAGGCCTGCCTCTACCATTTTTGACAGGTTGGTCTAAAGTTGACTTTGCTTTACCCTTTACTCGTACAGGTGATAATTTCTCATCTCCTTCGTCGCATCGCTTTCTAGTTCGTTTTTTACGTTGATAAACCCTTTCAGGCGGAGGTGATTCATCAGGTATCTTGAGACCAAGTGGATCTAAAATGCTAATGTCTAGTGATTCAATGTCTATGGATTTGGCTATTTGTTCTCCCCTCGCTGTCCAAACAAGAGGTCCTTCTGATAAAGCTATAAACTGGCTTATTATGTCGTCATCGACGTCAGCAATGTCCGACATCAGAGCCGCAAGACCATCCGTCCTTAACAATGCTTTTGTTAATATGTGCAGGCTAGGCGCAATTGCTTCTCTATATGCTAATAAGGCCTGTCTTTCCTGCTCAGCACTTTCGACTTTTGCTGATATTTCTACTAGAGCCTTTTCGTTTTTAATTATTTGATCTTTAATGCCATTGACTATAGCAGCTCCTTCTGCAACTCGTCTTCTTGTTTGGGCTATGCGCTGTTCTCTACGTTCTCGATAATCGCAGTATCTATCTTCAAATAGTTCGCGCAACGTCATTCCAATGTCATCCTCAACATTTACTCGTCTTGTGCGGGCTAGACCTTCATTCTTGCGGGCGTTTAATAAGTAATCATCACGTTTCCGGTACCATCTTTCCCAAGCATTAAGTCGAGGATCTTCTCCAGCATGAGATCCATGTTGTGGACAATACTGTCAAGTAGCATACAAAGATTGGTGAATAAAATAATGGTGTGCCATCAGTAAAACGGTTTACAATAGACCACACCACACACACACCCGACAATAAAATGTATATACTACATACAATAAAGTATGGGTCCGCCATGTTAGGATCATCCTCGACAACTTCGAGGAGACTAAGCGACTGAGCGCAAGTTACATGAAGCCAGTTCTTACAACCGCCAGCATCGCAGTGAACAACCGCACCTTCATCACATAAGCCAGACGAACACACACAACAGGACTTTAAAGAAATAGGTTGCAAAAAAACAAAAAACAACGAAATAATCATTAAAATGAGTGACAAATGTTAATGACTTGTCAATTCATATGCTGCAAATGCTATCACCATTGCTTACCTTACGCCAGTTATTTTGCTGCACATGTTCTACTGTTATGTCCGAAATCAATTCATTATCTCCTATCCACATGCCCGGCATCCATAACGCACATACCACATGCACCCATCCTCCTGAATCTGCCCCTCTCGATAGTCGCCGGAAAGCCCCGTTTTTATTCGGACATAAACAGCATGACTACAAAAGATATCGCTATCTATAAATGATGACAGTCTTAACAAACAAACGCTAATAAGTACAAGACGTCGAATACATACAACACATTCTGACGGTTTCGCTAGACAACGATCACAATACCACGGATCATGGGCACCCGGAAGATCGATGATTCCATAACATTCTGCAGGTCCAAGAATAAAAGACACATTTGTATTGACGATAATAGTTAAATCCAAACCATGTTTCTTGGCAAAGGCTGAATCGTACCTTGATGCGTGACGACCTCACATTCATCATTATCACAATAAACAAGCATATTGTCTTCGGTAGTTGCGCAGTCAAGACATATGCAACAGACTCCCGGATCATTTAGTTTCTGTTATCACAATAAAAGCAATTCGAAATATCAATAAAGAAGCAAAAGCAGCAGCTCGCACCATTAAGTTGTATAATAAACATATCATACCCAAGTTGTAAGCCAGTCTTTTATCCTCTGACTCTGGTCTTCCGTATCGCTAAGGCTTACAGACTCATCTTCCTCCCTCTCGGCTTCATCGGATTCACTGTTTATGTTCTGAAGTTCACTGCTGACTATTGTCGCGTCGTCGGTGTCTGTCGAATCGTTACTGTCCTGATATTCAGAGTCAGAGTCGGGACCGTTGACCTCCAGCGGCATTTCCTCTATTTCTCTGACTTTTATTTTTCTTTTGTTGGGACCACGATCTGCAACTTTTTTAAAGTTATTTGATAACAGTGTAATTAGTCGGTCAACATATAAACACGTTTCAATATGCTCATGCAGTTTTGTAATAGTTAATAAATAATAACGGCCAAGTATGGTAACCACAAAAATAAACATCACGAAGCTTTAGCAGTCACGTACAGATCCTATGGTATATCGACTGGGCTTCTTCCTTTATATCTTTATTTTCGGGAGACAAGCTGTCACTAGCCGACACATTTCCAGTCGTATCAACTTCCTCTATTGTGGGCTTCTGCGGTGGCATGTGACTGTACGTAAATATTATTTTAAAGCGAGAGAGCAGAAGGAATAGCAGTCAAAACAAAGCTCGCCAGGGATTTGTGTACACATCTCTCCCAAATCAGCATTTTATAATCATCGGCGTCCAAATTAGGTAAGTATCTTACGTTTGAGTTTGAAATGACGTGTCAGGTAAAACGGATAACGTCCACAGAACAGCAAAGCGCTCTAAGATGACGGTATTGTATTATGTTGTGAAAAGGTTACGGAAGGAGATCTGACGTCTATATAAAAGGAAATATCAAACACAGCCAATTGAATACAATCGAGTATTTGAATACGCTGACAATGTAGCTTGTATTATCCATATATTCGCAAAACGCCGCCTCCCAAATGCAGTAAATATGTTCTAATGCATTAACCACTAATGCGGGTTTTACAAGATATAGAAAAATCCACAGTTCGGCGTAAAAGATGGACAATGTAAGAATATGTTTATGTATTGTAATAATTGGACATGGTCAAGAAAGTTTGTTCGGTAAGGTCAATATATACAAAGGTGGCTATGTGATAAGCATGTATTTTGGAATGGGTTAGTCAGAATTTCAGTATACGTATTAGTATGGGCAAGCAAGACAACAAACGATTCAGAGGAAGTTTGTGATTTGAAACTTTTCGGTAAACCAGCAATGTTTATTAATAAGACAAATTAGTCTTACTCTAATGTCTAAGAATAAATTATTATGTCATAAAACCATTTCGTGAAGTTGTTATAAGAATTTGTGAATAAGTTCCTCGCGATAGTTATTATATAGTATTCGATGATGTACTTTCCCATCTTCACAGAAATACTTTTTTTCCTCTCCTTCGCTTGAATCTTTTTCCGTATGTATCTGTGTTTTAAGACACCTTCAGTCAGATGAATAAATTATCGTCTATCCAAAAATTACTCCTGGCCTATTCATCGATCGACGTTTCGTAGTAATACGAGCGATATTGGGTAAACAAATTCGCTTAATACTATTGGAAGGTTACGTTCATAGTAATGTTGAAAATTGAAAATTGGAATTGTGGAAATTGGAGAATGGGGAATACAACCGAGGTATATTTATATGGAATTCCGTTAAAGTCGGGGATATTGACGACACAAGTGGGAAAGATATATAACTGAGGTATCCATACATGCCAAAATAAACAACCCTCTTTTTTTAGTAAGCAAATCGTGTAGCAAACATCAAACACACATTTTCATTAAATGCAAACGTCTCCTTGTTGATGCCTAAACTGAATGCTCCAAATTGGTTGGTTGATTGGATACTAATACAGCATATGCTAAAACTTTTTCCAATGACTGAATTAGTGGTCAAGTCCAGTCACCTGGTAGAGGATTTGTGTTCAAGTTGATCGGTGGGAACCATTGATTAATTTGGTTCTCTGTGTGGTCTTGCATCACGTCACTTAATATTAAGGCGTACTAAACTTTATCGGCGGCTCTTATCATCGCTACTACTCGAAAAGGGATATCCTCAACTTAACTCTAAACACGGTCTTGTCAATTAATGTGTTGGCTAATGTCGAATGCGGCTGCAAATATATTCCCTATCGCTGGAATGCTAAGCACCTTATTATTTAGAATATTGGTTTTGAGTCGCTGCATTTACTGTAAGTGATTAAATATTTAGCTTGATTTTTTTTTTTAAGAATCGGCGATAGCTCTGCCGCTAACAACTTACAAACAAGGAAATAACAACTGATGTGATGCCTTTATCGAAGGATTATAATTAATATAGGCTTCAATTCGTCGATTAGGAACGTTCTGAATTTTCTTCAGCCAATATATGTAGACGATTAATTACATGTATACAAATTTCACTATTGATCGTAGTCATGTGTATTTAGTATATGAATGGCACAACATTTAAAGATGAATTTTTACGCTCCTTATATAATAATTGCATCTACTGATTTTGGCTATAAAATTCTGTCTCGATTACATTGTACATTTTTGTTTTTATTTACGCTTCCTAATTTAGATAATCATTGGATGTAGCATATTTTTCCATGCGTTATCGACTCCAAACGAAACAAATGTTGTTACAAAAAAACTCAAACCGCTTGAAGTGAGGGTGAAACTCAACATCGAAGCTATGCAATATTAATATGGTAAACACAAATAAATAACAATAATTATAGAAAACGAATTAGGATTGTTATTAAAAAGTTGAAAATTAAGATAAAAAATTTTATCGAAACTTAATTAATAAAAACCAATTTTAGCACCTAGTGGAAAGACTAAACATCAAAGCCAAAAATTATTTAAGTTGTAATTTGCATATGTCACTGTCCGACTGTGAGGCTCAAGTTGTAATTCCTGGAAGCTGAAAGAAAGTAAGAGGCATTGTACAAAGTCTAGCAAATTATAGACAGCAATCTCAGCAGTCTAACAACATGTAATTTGGCAAATTACAGAATTGTTACAAATTTTCGATAATGCTCTTCGATAGAGTCAAAACAAAACAAAAAGATTTATAGTCATTACAATCGTACTTTATTATAGTAAAAGATTTTCGACTATATTATTATATGTGAGATATGTACGTTATATATGATGTGCTCTTTGCGCGACAAAATAAATTTACCATGGTCTGTATTGCCTGTCGCCTTACCTTTTGTGATTACGTTTAAAACGCATATTAATAACTTGTCGTTATAACCCACACCAAAACATCAACATGGAAGTTTCTTATATTAAGCGACATGAGACTATTCGTGCCGCACTTGACAAAATAGAAAATTTATCCTGCTGGCTCCAATTAAATGAAATTTAGGAATAAAAAAGGCGAGAAAAATAATAAAAAATAGAAAATTTTTGCAAATTATCCCTGTTCTGCCTCACGCCTATGCTTTATTCTATATGCAAAAACGCTTGTCGGAGAACCACACTTTGTATCATACCGTGTAACTTGTTGATGCGTGCAACATATCTCTTACAAAAAAGTTATTTACGCTTTTTTGATCCATAATAAACACGCGTTTTTTCTTTCTCTTGGATTTATAGCCTTGAAATAATAGTATAGTTATGTGTTGACGTTGGATCATCGAAATCCTAAATGGGAATGGGGGCAAAGTAAACAATAGTTATTATCATATTTCATAGGCATGATTGTTTTTTACATACGCGTTTGTGCTAGATACGCGGGCATGAAGTTATGATTAAAACGGCAACTTTTTTCGTCACACACCGTATGTCCTTATTGTATGTAGCTTGCTAGTGTACTAGTCCAAAGGAGAAAGAGGAGGGTCTACCTACCAAATATTTAATTCATTGATAATTACATACGACGCTTCTGCAGTTAGACTGTCAGCAAAGCGACGGGCTACAAGCTCGTTACTTTTACAGTGTTTTTGGAATTTTTTATTTACTTATTGCTCAAAAACTACTGCATAAACTTGACAAAAACAAGCTTATAATCTAAAGTTTTTATTGACATAAAATCAATAATTTACATTGTTTTCTATTATCATCTCACATCTCCTTCTCATTGACCCGATACAGTTAATTAGAACATTATTCGGAATTCTACCCCATTCTTCTGCCATACCGCTCAGATTTTTAGGCATACGCATTTCTATGTTTCTTTTAACAATGACCCAAAGATTTTCAATAGGGTTTAAGTCAAGTGCGTACCTTGTTGTTACGGCAAGCTAGATCTGATGAATTAATAAGTAAGTCACATGATAAAATCTTCCTCCGCAGCAAACCCCATGATCGACGCTCAGTAACGGTAATAGTAATACAAAAAGTTAAATTAGTAGCGGCGTCTCGTAAAATCCGCAACAAACGCAGTAATAGTAACGTTTCGAAACATCTGCAACGGCACAAATACTATAATTAGAGATAGCGTTACGTTTTTTTCGCAACGCTTGAAGATATATAAGTAGCTCATATTCCATCGTCAAATCTTCATGTTATCAAAGTCAGCTAAGCCTGGTAACATCCCCCGGTCGGCGAACACACCTACACGAAAAGATAAATCGCTCTCCCAAAATCCCCATTCAATTCCCGACCGTAACAATATGCTATATTTGGCTCTGTTTGAGGATATCCAGAATATGGAAATAATAAGTTTGTTTCTTTGCCCATTTTTATTTTACAGGAAGAACAGCATAATGAGATCTTTAAAAATGTAGATCAAGCAGCCACATTTCAATTCTCTCTCTCTCTCTCTATATATATATATAAGGAACAATACTTACAGAACATCTAGAAAGAAAAAGACCAGCAGACAATATGGAGGTCAAAAAATTCAACTGCAGATTGCAAATTTAGTCGGGGAATATACCGAAAAAGGAAACTTGTTCTAGAATGATCTGCAGCCAATTCTTGAAATTTGATTGGCTTACGCACTCTTTACGCCCACAATTTCGCCCTATTTGGGTTAAAAAAGACCTCTACTTTCAATATTTGCTAATAATCAAACCGTTTCGAAAAAGTAAATGAGACGTAAAAATTACAGTTTTTGCATGCGCTAACGTCTTAAGAAGAAATGACGAAACGTAATTTCGCTAACTAAGTTGTATTCAAACAATCTTTTGAACAGTCTGTTTATAAAAACCAATAGCAAGAGACCTTCCATGCGTTTTTGCGACTTTAGTTGAAGCATATAGTGAAGTTGGACTGAGATCATGTGAAGTGAAAGAACCACAAATGTGGCGGCATGTGAGCACCCAGGAAACGGCTATGCAGCTTGCACTCTCAGTTAAGAAATCTCGGTCTATAACAGAACTGAACAATCAGATTGTACGAATGCAGCAGCACCTTGAGGATCAGAGCACTGAAGCCGAAAAACAACTACAGAAGGCTTATGAAGATATGAATGAGATTCGGAATTTGTATGAAGAAGAATGTAAAAAGAATAAAATTCTTACTGAACGGTGGAATTCACGTTTTTCTGATTACTACAGTGTTAACGCGATCGTTGAAATAACTAAGGAAGAACATATATCAGTATACGATGATGTAAA